TTTTTTCAAGGATTTATGAAACGTGGATTTTTTAAAGAATATTTTTTCAAGGACCAACAGAGGCCTGGATATTTTTTAAAGAATATTCTCTTAAGGACCAAAATAAAGCGTGTATTTTTAAAGAATATTTTTTCAAGGACCAAAATAAACGTGGAGTTTTAAAGATATTTTTTCAAGGACCAAAATAAACGTGGATTTTTAAAAGAATATTTTTCAAGGACCAAAATAAACGTGGATTTTTTAAAGAATATTTTTCAAGGACCAAAATGAACGTGGATTTTTATAACGAATATGTTTTTCAAGGACCAAACACAGGCGTGGATTTTTTAAGAATATTTTTCAAGGACCAAAATAAACGCGGATGTTTTAAAGAATATTTTTTCAAGGACCAAAATAACGTGGATTTTTTAAGGAATATTTTTTCAAGGACCAAAATAAACGCGGATGTTTTAAAGAATATTTTTCAAGGACCAAAATAAACGGGATTTTTAAGGAATATTTTTTCAAGGACCCCAATAAACAAGGATTTTTTAAAGAATATTTTTTCAAGGACCAGAAGAGGCGTGGATTGTTTAAAAAATATTTTTCAAGGACCAACAGAGGCGTGGATTGTTTAAAAATATTTTTTCAAGGACCAGAAGAGGCGTGGATTGTTTAAAAATATTTTTTCAAGGACCAACAGTGGATTGTTTAAAAAATATTTTTTCAAGGACCAACAGAGGCGTGGATTTTTTAAAGAATATTTTTTCAAGGACCAACAGAGGCGTGGATTTTTTAAAGAATATTTTTTCTATAACCAACAGAGGTGTGGATTTTTTAAAGAATATTTTTTCTATAACCAACAGAGGCGTGGATTTTTAAAGAATATTTTTTCAAGGACCAACAGAGGCGTGGATTTTTTAAAGAATATTTTTCAAGACCAACGGAGGTCGTGATTTTTTAAAGAAGATTTTTCTATAACCAACAGAGGCGTGGATTTTTTTAAAGATATTTTTTCAAGGACCAACAGAGGCGTGGATTTTTTTAAAGAATATTTTTTTATAGGACCAACAGAGGCGTGGATTTTTTAAAGAAGATTTTTTCAAGGACCAAAATAAACGTGGATTTTTTAAAGAAGATTTTTTCAAGGACCAATATAAACGTGGATTTTTTAAAGGAAGATTTTTTCAAGGACCAAAATAAACGTGGATTTTTTAAAGAAGATTTTTTCAAGGACCAAAATAAACGTGGATTTGGATTTTTAAAGAAGATTTTTTCAAGGACCAAAATAAACGTGGATTTGGATTTTTTAAAGAAGATTTTTTCAAGGACCAAACTAACACGGATTTGGATTTTTAAAGAAGATTTTTTCAAGGACCAAAATAAACGTGGATTTGGATTTTTTAAAGAAGATTTTTTCAAGGACCAAAATAAACGTGGATTTGGATTTTTTAAAGAAGATTTTTTCAAGGACCAAAATAAACGTGGATTTGGATTTTTTAAAGAAGATTTTTTCAAGGACCAAAATAAACGTGGATTTGGATTTTTTAAAGAAGATTTTTCAAGGACCAAAATAAACGTGGATTTGGATTTTTACAGAAGATTTTTTCAAGGACCAAACTAAACGTGGATTTGGATTTTTTAAGAAGATTTTTTCAAGGACCAAAATAAACGTGGATTTGGATTTTTTAAAGAAGATTTTTTCAAGGACCAAAATAAACGTGGATTTGGATTTTTTAAAATCTTTTTTAAAGAAGATTTTTTCAAGGACCAAAATAAACGTGGATTTGGATTTTTTAAAGAAGATTTTTTCAAGGACCAAAATAAACGTGAATTTGGATTTTTTAAAGAAGATTTTTTCAAGGACCAAAATAAACGTGGATTTGGATTTTTTAAAGAAGATTTTTCAAGGACCAAATAAACGTGGATTTGGATTTTTTAAAGAAGATTTTTTCAAGGACCAAAATAAACGTGGATTTGGATTTTTAAAGAAGATTTTTTCAAGGACCCAAAATAAACGTGGATTGGATTTTTTAAAGAAGATTTTTTCAAGGACCAAAATAAACGTGGATTTGGATTTTTTAAAGAAGATTTTTCAAGGACCAAAATAAACGTGGATTTGGATTTTTTAAAGAAGATTTTTTCAAGGACCAAAATAAACGTGGATTTGGATTTTTTAAAGAATATTTTTTAAGGGATATGTGAAACGTGGATTTTTAATAAAATATTTTTTCAAGGATATATAAAGCGTGGATTTTCTAAGGAATATTTTTTCAAGGACCAAAATACACGAGGATTTTTTAAAGAATATTTTTTCAAGCACCAACCGAGGCGAGGATTTTTTAAAGAATATTTTTTCAAGGACCAACCGACGCGTGGATTTTTTAAAGAATATTTTCTCAAGGACCAACAGACCAAACGAGGATTTTTCAAAGAATGTTTTCAAGGACCAACTTAACGATTTTTATAGAAAATTTATTTTAAATTTCTCCTACTTCACCCACTGTCCTCCCCTTTTCGGCTGTTGTAATAATACACAAGTCAAACACCAACACACACACATACACCCACATTCAAGCCATGGCAACCCATATCCATTGTAGGATGTCAATGGCAAACATATCTTCAATTCATCGTTATTAACCATAACGAACATTATTAAGACGACTTAATGAAGATATCCGATTTTATTGACAACAAACGAAACAACCGAACGAACGCAACAACGGACCAGCAAACAAACGGCTAACAAGCAACTACGGCAGCAACAACAACAGCTCAAATGTATTCCACGCCAATCACCCGGTATTTGTCTTTGCCATTGCAAAAAAACGGAAGGAACGGCATTTGAACAATTCAAAGCATGGCCAAGAAGAGGAAGAAGAAGACGAACAAACAGGCGTCAGTGGCCATTGTCTGTGTGGCAGGCAACTTAACAAATGATTTCATTATTTTGCGAACATTGGCAGCCAGCTAGCCAGCCGGCATTGGAAGATTTTTGCGTTCTACATTCATTAGCTGTGGCACCTTTCGGCATTGGCCAAGGAAACACAAGAGAAGTAGGAAAAAAAAGACACAATTAGTTTTCGCGTTTGTTGGTGGATGAGGCATAATTACAGGCTATAACCTCTCTCCGAACACATTCCACTCCCCCATCCACCAACATCATGTTGAGGCTGCTTAACGCAATTGAATGGGCCATTCATTAACCAAGCAAAACAGCAAACATGCCAACTACCCACCACCAGCTTCATTTGCCAACGCCATCACCACCCGTCCCACCCCTGATTTCCAGCCAAAAACAGATTGCCTGCCATTGAAGGTGAAGGAGAAATGTAAAATAAAGATGTTTGAACTTTAACAAGTAATTTAAGCTGGTGCTTGGCATTGACTTTGGCCCCCAATAACCCAGGGGATGAGACTTCATTCATTCATCCGCCAGTCCATTGAGAACTTATTTTCGCCGAAATCGTAGAAATTCCATTTCAAACCAAAGCCAAAAGTCGTAATTTGGTGGATAAGGAAGCGGAGTGTGGGGATGAGGAGGTGGAGGAGGCTTAGGATAGTATTGAAATTTCGTTACAATAAATAAGTTAATTTCCCTTAGCTGATGATACTACTTAAGGAGTCTAAGTAGAAGAGGGCTGAAGAAGCAGCTGGAGAAGGGTGTGCGTGAGTGGGAGCCCTGTGTCAGACTGAAGTAATTTGTAAGTAGTTGAAACTTCCAAGAAATTTTATGGTTAATAAATTAAAGCAATCGAAATGCGTTGTTTGTTGCTGCCGTTCTTGTTGTTGTTGTTGTTGTTGTTGTGGTGTTTCTTTTCTGTAATTATAGACAAAAAAGTTTTTGTTTGGTTTCCAATTTCATGGAAATGACACGTTTGAAGAACGGGAAAGGAGTAGAGTTCTTGAAGTTAAGGCTTTAATGAAAATTCAGTGATTTTAATTACATAGTTTTTGTAAGGCATTGAAATTGGATTGTTCTGTTGGTCCTTCATTAGTCCTTGAAAAAATATTCTTTAAAAAATCCACGTTTCATTGGTCCTTGAAAAAATATTCCCTAAAAAATCCACGTTTGATGGTGTTTTGGTCCATGAAAAAATATTATTTGAAAAATCCACGTTTGATGGTGTTTAGGCCCTTGAAAATATATTATTCAAAATAAAAATCCACGTTTAATTGGTCCTTGAAAAAATATTCTTTAAAAAATCCGCGTTTCATTGAATCTTAAAAAAATATTGTTTTAAAAATCCACGTCTCATTGGTTCTTGAAAAATATTCTTTAAAAAATCCACGTTTCCCAGTTCATTGAAAATATGTTTTTTAAAAATCCACATTTCCCAGTTCCTTGAAAAAATATTATTTAAAGAATATACGATTACTTGGTCCTTGAAAAAATATTCTTTAAAAAATCCATGTTTGCTAGGTCTTTGAAAATATATTCTTTAAAAAATCCAAGTTACCCAGTTACTTGCAAAAATATTATTTCCCAGTTCCTTTGATGATCCTTTGTTTCTTGAAAATAATATTCTTAGAAACATCCACGATTCCCAGTTCTTTGATGATCTTTGGGTTTCCCAGTTCCTTTAATTATCCTTTCGTCCTTGAAAAAAATATTCTTTAAAAAATCCACGTCCTTTGGTCCTCGAAAAAAAAATTCTTTAAAAATCCAAGTTTGGTGATCCTTTGGTCCTTGAAAAAATATTCTTTAAAAAATCCACGTTTTATGACCCCTTGGTTCTTGAAAAAGTATTCTTTAAAAAATACACGTTTTATGACCCCTTGGTTTTTGAAAAAAAATTCTTTAAAAAATTCAAGTTTATACTGAGCTTGAAAAAATTATATTCTTTTAAAAATCAACGTTGGTCCTTAAAAAATATATACTTGAAAAAATATTCTTTAAAGAATCTACGATTATTTGGTCCTTGAAAAAAAAATATTCTTTAAAGAATCTACGATTATTTGGTCCTTGAAAAAAAAATATTCTTTAAAGAATCTACGATTATTTGGTCCTTGAAAAAAAAATATTCTTTAAAGAATCTACGATTATTTGGTCCTTGAAAAAATATTCTTTAAAAAATCCACGTTTGTGAAGTCCTTAAAAAATATTCTTTAAAAATCCACGTTTGTGAAGTCCTTAAAAAATATTCTTTAAAAATCCACGTTTGTGAAGTCCTTAAAAAATATTCTTTAAAAAATTTACGTTTGTGAAGTCCTTGAAAAAAATACTCTTTAAAAAATCCACGTTTGTGAAGTCCTCGAAAAAATATTCTTGAAAAAATCCGCGTTTGTGAAGTCCTTAAAAAAATATTCTTTAAAAAATCCACGTTTGTGAAGTCCTCGAAAAAATATTCTTGAAAAAATCCAGGTTTGTGAAGTCCTTGAAAAAATATTCTTTAAAAAATTCACGTTTATTTTGTCCTTGAAAAAATATTCTTTAAAAAATCCATGTTATTTTGTCCTTGAAAAAATATTGTTTTAAAAATCCATGCCTCTGTTGGCCAAAGAAAAAAATATTCCTTTAAAAATACACGTTTATTTTGTCCTTAAAAAATATTTTTTTAAAAATCCACATTTATTTTGTCATTGAAAAAATATTCTTTTAAAAATCTACATTTGTTTAGTCTTTGAAAAAAAAATTCCTTTAAAAATCTAATTTCTTTTGTTGTTTAAAAATATCCACGTATGTTTTGTCCATGAAAAAAAAATCTTTTAAAAATCCACGTTTATTTTGTCGTTGAAAAAATATTATTTTAAAAACTACGTTTGTTTAGTCCTTGAAAAATATATTCTTTTAAAAATCGACATTTCTTTGTTCCTTGAAAAACTATTATTTAAAAAATTTAAGTTTGATCGAACCTGGAAAAATATTCTTTAATTAATCCACGTTTGGAGGTCCTTAAAAAATATTCCTTAAAAAAATCACGTTTAATTGGTCATCGCCTGTTGATCCTTGAAAAAAAAATTAAAACAGTCCACGTTCCTGTGGTCCTTGAAAAAATATTCTATAAAAATTCACGCTTGAATTTCTCCCTATATAATATTTTTTAAAAAGTTTGATCGTTTTTGGTTCGTATAATTGCCTATATAAAAATCCATGCTTAGTGGTGTTGGGACACTGCGACCGAAAACTAGTTTTCTCATCTTCAATGTTTTTGTGTTCTTGCTTCGCAAAGAGTTTTAAAATAAAGTGAAGATAATCTTAAGCCAGCAAAGAAGTAGATGCTGCAAGAAGTAAAAAAAAAAGCGAGACGAAACGAAGAGATGAGCCATACAAATGAACAAATTTCTCTTTTGAAGAATGGATAATAATATTACATTCTTGTCTCAAGGGTTTCCGTTTCCTTTTCGTAGTTGTTAATATCAAGTACCAAATGCAGCAGCAGCATCCTCATCATCAGCATCAGCGTTAGGAAGGACAAATAAAAATATGCACGTGTAGCACAAATTTCTCACTTATTTCTCAAAAGTTTCTTTTTTTCGAGGAGTTTTTCTTTCCACAAACACTCACACGCACGCACACACACTCATATCTGTATACTCCAGAGAAAAACTAAGTAAGAAACTACCAAAGCAATCCTTTTTCTCCTGCTTTGTGTCTCATTTTATCATATGAGTGTCACATGGAAGGGAAGCTCGAGAAAAAATGTGTGTGTGAGATGTCAGAATTACGATAATTGCGTTGATAGATCCTGGGATGGCACTCCAGGATGACAGCTGATTAGATGGTTCTGTATTAATTTATCTCTAAAAAATCCACATTTTCTGGAGTATCCGTCCTTGAAAAATATTTCTCACAAAATGTTTAACAAAAGCTCATAATCTTCTTTTAGTCACTTATAACATATTTGAAAAAATCCATGTTTCTAAAAATATTCAGAAAAGATTTTTAGAATATCTGGGGTTTAAAAGTCCTTCTAAAAATATATTTTTTTAAAATCACGTTTCTGAAGTCCTTGTGAAGATATTTTTAAAAAAATCCATGTTTCTGAAGTCCTTCAGAAAAGATTTTTAGAATATCTACGAATTTAAAGTCCTTTCAAAATATTTTTAAAATATCTACGAATTTAAAGTCCTTCCAAAAATGTTTTTTTTTTTAATCCACGTTTCTGCATTCTGAAATATTTTTAAAAACCCACGTTTCGTCCATCTGAAATATTTTTAAAAAAATCCAAGTTTAGTCCTACTGAACATATTTTTAAAGAATCTAGAGGTCCAAAGTCATTCAGAAAATAATTATAAAAAATCTATGTTTGGTCCTTTTAAAAACATTTTCAAAAAAATCCACGTTTGTCCTTCCGAAAATATTTTCAAAAAAATCCACGTTTGTCCTTCCGAAAATATTTTTAAAAAATCCACGTTTTCTTCTGAAAATATTTTTTAAAAAATCCATGTCTGTACTTTCGAAAATATTTTTAAAAGATCCACGTTTTTTCCTCTGAAAATATTTTTTTATAAAATCCACGTTTATATCTAGGCCTTCAGAAAATAGTTTTTGAAAGTCCACGTTTCGTCCTTTCGAAAAGATCTGAAAATCCAGGTTTCTAAAGTCCTTCAGAAAATATTTTTAAAATATTTAAGGTTTGAAAGTCCTTCAGAAAATATTTTTAAAATATCTAGGGTTTTAAAGTCCTTCAAATAATATTTTTAAAATATCTAGGGTTTTAAAGTATTATATTTTTCGTTTCGTCCTTTTGAAAATATTTTTAAAAAATCCAATAAAATATTCTATAGTTTAAAAAATTCCCGTTCATATTTTAAAGTCCTTCAAAAATTATATTTTCTTTTGAAAATCCACGTTTCTAAAGAGCTTCTGAATATATTTTTAAGCAATCCAGGTTTTTAATGTACTTCTGAATATATATTTAAAAAATCCATGTTTCTAAAGAGCTTCTGAATATATTTTTAAAAAATCCACGTTTTTCAAGGCCTTCAGAAATTATATTTTCTTTTGAAAATCCACGTTTCTAAAGACCTTCTGAATATATTTTTAATCAGTCCACGTTTCTAAAGACCTTCTGAATATATTTTTAATCAGTCCACGTTTTTAAAGTCCTTCTAAATATATTTTTAAAAAATCCACGATTCGTCCTTCTGAAATATTTTTAAAAAATCCACGTTTCGTCCTTCTGAAATATTTTTAAAAAATCCACGTTCACGTCTAGTCCTTCAAAAAAAAATGTTTTGAAAAGCCACGTTCATATCTAATCCTTCAAAACATATAATCCTTCAAAAAATATTTTTTTGAAAATCCACGTTCAAATATAGTCCTTCAAAATAATATTTTTTTGAAATTCCATGTCCTTTAAAAGATATATTCCTTAAAAAAATATTTTTTTAAAAAATCCATGTTTATGTCTAGTTCTTCGAAAACAATTTATCCACGTTTATATCTAGTTCTTCAAAAATAGTTTTAAAAACCCACGTTCATCTCTAGTCCTTTAAATAATATTTTTAAAAGATCCACATTTACATCTAGTTCCTCAAAAGATGTAGTTCTTCAGAAATATTTTTTAAAAAATCCACGTTTATATCAAAAAATATTTTTTGAAAATCCACTTTCATATCTAGTCCATCAAAAGACATGAACATTCAAAAAATATTTTTTTAAAAATCCACGTTCTTATCTAGTCAAAAGACATTTTTAAAAAATCCACATTTACATCTGGTGTTTCAAAAAATATTTTTTAAAAATCCACGTTCATATCTACTCCTTCAAAAAATGTTTTAAAAAATCCACATTCATAAAAAGTCCTTCAGAGAATATTTTTTTAATCCACGTCTATTTCTAGTCCTTCAGAAAATATTTTTTTAAAAAATTCAACGTTACTAAAGTCCTTTTAAAATATTATTCTAAAATCTAGGGTTTTAAAATCCCTCTGAAAAAAATTTAAAAAATCCACGTTTTAAAAGTCCTTCAGAACTATTTTTAAAAAAACTCACGTTTAAACTGGTCCTTCAGAAAAGTCCTTCAAATTTTTTTTAATCCATGATTATCTCTAGTTCTTCGGAAAATCTTATTTGAATAACCCGGTAAATCTACCCTTCCACTTACCACTTTCCCCCGGTGTACCGAAAATACAATGTTTTCTTTAAATTCCTCACTACCATTCCGTTAGCTGTTTTTCTTTCCTCAGTACTTTTCTCAAGTGTGCGGAATATTCTCTTCGAAAAAGGAAACGTCCCTTTTATGGAGTACTATTATTGTTGTTGGGTTACTACTTTTGGGTGTTTTCTGGTTGCATCGTTAAAAAGAAAAGTTATTTATTTCAGTGCGACGATAGGCGACAGAAGGATGCGGAGGAGGAGAAAAAAGAAGGAACTTCTTCTCCATCAGCAACACATAAGTTCCGATATAAGTAGAAAAGAAGAAAAAACACACACACAATCACACATCGAAAGACAAACACAAACAAAGAAACGACAATAGAAATGTAGACAAAAGGAAACTCACTCTCTCACACACACACTCAACCATATATGGAAGGAGTTATTATATTTCCACTTTGAAGTAGTTTTTTTTTTGGGTTTTTTATTCATCTCCTACTTCTTCTCGTTTTTTGTTACAACATCTCTCAAGGAGTCAACACTTTTGAGGATTAATGTGTTGTTTTAACTTAAAATAATGTCTTTTTTTTCTTTGTTCTTGGCCGTGTTTTCTTTTCTATTTCAGTTTCCGTCGTTTCCGTTTGCTTTTGTCAAAATTTATGAAAAACTTTAAATTTTATTGTCGTCTTTTTTAGTTTTATTTGCAAGGGCATTATTTGTGGTTGTTGTTGGAGGGCGGACAAATCATAAAACATTTATCTTGCGATTATGGCTTAGTAATGCCGAATTAACATTTTTATGTTCGGTTTAAAATTGTATTATGGCGAACAAGATAATTCTAAATGGTCGTTAAAATTGTGGGTGGTGACAGAGAGAGAGAGAGAGAGAGGGAAGAAGTTGAAAGGGGGAATGGGAAATGATGGAAGACAGATGAAGGGATGCAGCTTCAGAGAACAAGATTTTGGAAAGGGAAAGCAAGACAGCAAGATTAGATTTTTTAAAGAATATTGTTTCAAGGACCAACAAACCAAACTTGGATTTTTTTTTTAAGGAAGAATATTTCTTCAAGGACTTACACACTTGGCTTTTTTGAAAAAAAAATTTTCAAGGATCAAACAAACGTGGATTTTTTCAAGAATATTTTTTACGATCAAATAAACGTGAATTTTTAAATAATATTTTTTCAAGGACCAACAGACGTGGATTTTAAAAATTAAGGATTAAAAAAGGTGGATTTTTCAAAGAATATTTTTTCAAGGATTAAAGAAACGTGCATTTTTTAAAGAATATTTTTTTAAGATTAAAGAAACTTGGGGTTTTTCAAAAAATATTTTTTCAAGGATTAAGATACGTGGATTTTTTAAAGATGATTTTTTCAAGGATTAAAGAAACGTGGATTTTTTTTAAATTATTTTTTCAAGGACCACGCATGATGGTTCTTTGGTCCTTGAAAAAATATTCTTAAAAAAACCACGTTTAACGATCCCATGGTAATTGAAAACATATTTTTTAATAAAATCCACGTCTTTTCATCTTTAGGTCCTTGAAAAAAAATTGTTTAAAAAATTCACGTTTGTTTGGTCCTTGAAAAAATATTCTTTAAAATATCAACATTTGATGATCCTTTGGTTCTTGAAAAAAAATATTCTTTAAAATATCAACATTTGATGATCCTTTGGTCCATGAAAAAAAATGTTCTTTAAAATATCAAAATTTGATGATTCTTTGGTCCTTGAAAAAATATTCTTTTAAAAAACCACGTTTGATGACACTTTCGTCCTTGAAAAAATATTGTTTAAAAAATCCACGTTTGTTTGGTCCTTGAAAAAATATTCTTTAAAATATCAACATTTGATGATCCTTTGGTCCTTGAAAAAATGTTCTTTAAAATATCAAAATTTGATGACTCTTTGGTCCTTGAAAAAATATTCTTTTAAAAAACCAGGTTTGATGACACTTTCGTCCTTAAAAAAATATTGTTTAAAAAATCCACGTTTGTTTGGTCCTTGAAAAATATTCTTTAAAATATCAACATTTGATGATCCTTGAAAAAAAATGTTCTTTAAAATATCAAAATTTGATGATTCTTTGGTCCTTGAAAAAATATTCTTTTAAAAAACCACGTTTGATGACACTTTCGTCCTTGAAAAAATATTCTTTAAAAAATCCACGTTTAATGATCCTTTGGTCCTTGAAAATTTTCTTTTTAAAAAATGATGGTCCTTTGGTCCTTGATCAAACGTGAATTTTTGTAAAAAAATTTTTTTCAAGGATTTTTAAAGAATATTTTTTCAAGGACCAAAGGATTATCAAACGTGGATTTTTAAAGAATATTTTTCAAGGAGCAAAGAACTATCAAACTTGGAGTTTTTAAAGAATATTTTTCAAGGACAAAAGGTTTACCAAACGTGGATTTTTGAAAGAAAATTTTTTAAAGGACCTCTTAAACGTGAATTTTTCAAAGGAACCATTAAACGTGGATTTTTTAAAGAATTTTTTTTCAAAAGGACACCTTAAACGTGGATTTTCACAAATTTTTATTTAAAAGGACCCATTAAACGAGGATTTTTTAAAGATTTTTTTTTTCAAAAGAACACCTTAAACGTGAATTTTCAGAGGACCAATTAAACGTGGATTTTTCACAAAAATTTTTTCAAAGGACCCATTAAATTTTTTAAAGAATTTTTTTTTTAAGGTCAATGAGGCCTGTTTTTTTTTTTTTAATGTTTTAAGGTCAATGAGGCGTGGATTTTTTAAAGAATTTTTCTTAAGGTCAATGAGGCGTGGATTTTTTAAAGAATTTTTCTTAAGGTCAATGAGGCGTGGATTTTTTAAAGAATTTTTCTTAAGGTCAATGAGGCGTGGATTTTTTAAAGAATTTTTCTTAAGGTCAATGAGGCGTGGATTTTTAAAGAATTTTTCTTAAGGTCAATGAGGCGTTGGATTTTTTAAAGAATTTTCTTAAGGTCAATGAGGCGTGGATTTTTTAAAGAATTTTCTTAAGGTCAATGAGGCGTGGATTTTTTTAAAGAATTTTTCTTAAGGTCAATGAGGCGGGATTTTTTAAAGAATTTTTCTTAAGGTCAATGAGGCGTGGATTTTTTTAAAGAATTTTTCTTAAGGTCAATGAGGCGTGGATTTTTTAAAGAATTTTTCTTAAGGTCAATGAGGCGTGGATTTTTTTTTTTAAAGAATTTTTTCTTAAGGTCAATGAGGCGTGGATTTTTTAAAGAATTTTTCTTAAGGTCAATGAGGCGTGGATTTTTTAACGAATTTTTTCTTAAGGTCAATGAGGCGTGGATTTTTTAAAGAATTTTTCTTAAGGTCAATGAGGCGTGGATTTTTAAAGAATTTTTCTTAAGGTCAATGAGGCGTGGATTTTTTTAAAGAATTTTTCTTAAGGTCAATGAGGCGTGGATTTTTTACAGAATTTTTCTTAAGGTCAATGAGGCGTGGATTTTTAAGAATTTTTCTTAAGGTCAATGAGGACGTGGTTTTTAAAGATAGTTTTTAAGGATAAGAAACAAGGATTTGTTTAAAGAATATTTTTAAGGATAAAGAAACAAGGATTTGTTTAAGAATATTTTTAAGGATTAAAGAAACAAGGATTTTTTTAAAGAATTTATTTTTAAGGATTAAAGAAACGTGGATATTTTAAAGAATATTTTTAAGGATAAAGAAACAAGGATTTGTTTAAAGAATATTTTTAAGGATTAAAGAAACAAGGATTTTTTAAAGAATTTATTTTTAAGGATTAAAGAAACGTGGATATTTTAAAGAATATTTTTTCAAGGATCAAAAGCGTGGATTTTTTAAAGAATATTTTTTCAAAGATCAAAAAAACGTGGATTTTTTAAAGAATATTTTTTCAAGGATTAAAGAAATGTGGATTTTTTTAAAGGATATTTTTTCAAGGATAAATGGAACGTGTATTTTTTAAATAGTAAAGAAACGAAATTTTTTTAGGAATATATTTTCAAATATTAATGAAACGTGGATTTTTAAAAAAATATTTTTTCGGGGACCAATGAAACGTGGATTATTTAAAGGAATTTTTTTCATATACCATCAGTTGTTCCGAAGTTTATTTTAAAGTCGAGGACCCACAGAACCTAAACGTTGATTTTTTTTAAGATTATTTCTTATTGAATTCATCTCTGATTTTTGTCATCCTCTTTTATATCACTTCCCTGTTGGCTATCAGATTTATGCAGATCTATCTCTTTCGCATATACCACCTAAAGTACTTGTGAGCTCAGCAAAACTATGATAAAATTGCACAATAAAACATGATGACATGAGAATGTTCTAAGCATTATCTGTTCCAGGTTCAGATGATGGTGGCCTGCTGAGCGACTAATAGTTGGCATGGGGGGGCAAAAATAGCCTCTAAACTTGCTAGAGTTGCTTTCATTTTTTTTTTTTTTTCGCCTCCTTCTCTTTTGTCACTGTCATTGTCATGCTTATCCAGCAGTCACATGCTTGGCTCCTTACCATTGTCGTCGTCATTCCCATCATCACCGCCGCCATCATCATCATCATCATCCTCCTGTGGTTGTCATTGTCTCATTTCGTTTGTTGAATATTGTTGTTGTTGCTATTTTGCTTTTCGTGTTGAGTGTGTGTTTTTATTTTTTTAGTTTTTGTTTAATTAAATAAAAAAACTGATGTTGGTTCTTGTTGTTGCCGTTGTTGTTTTGTCCGCAGGGACAAAAGATTAAAGTCTTTAGAACTATTTAAGACATTGTTATGACTTAAGTGGCCATAACGGAGTACAAGAGCCCTCTCATCGTCACCAGCCAGCCAGCCAACAGCAAGTACCAGCCAGATCTCTTTGGCATTTTTCTCTTTTCAGTTTCATTCTCTTTTAGTGGTGCTTATTTAGGGGGCATTGTTGTTGTAGCTGTTGCCCACAACACAACAATTGTTTGTTGAGAGTTTAAGCCAAACAATAGCAATAGCCATTACAGCAGCAACAACAACTACAACAATAAAATATTTAATAACAACCATTGTCACAATATCAACAAACAATTGTCCTTTAAATCCTTGAGCTCCCACATATCCAAGTATGTGTGTGTGTGTGGATGGGTGTATGTGATGGGCGTCGATGTATGCATGTGTAATAAGTGAATAAGAGAGGAGTGCAAAATAATTAAAGTCACCGGTGTTAGGAAAAAAAGTGAAAACGATATGGAACAGGCTCAATGTTGGCCTCTGAATAAAAAGAGTAATGGATTTTTCTGTGAGATAAAGGATTAAAAATTAGGTTGCCATAACAGTGAAGAGCAAATACTCGCAAGAACAGATGGAAAACATGAACTTATATATTTTTTCATGAAACAAAGTTTCCAAATAAATTATGTTTAAGACCAACACCTCACCAAGTATGGGTTATAAAAATGTTTGTTTTAATATTTGTTTATACCAACCAACGTGGATTTTTAACAGAATATTTTTTCAAAGACCAGACAACTAATTGATATTTTTCCAGAACAAATAAAAAATTAAAAATAAAAATTAATTTTATAAAAAATATTTATTCCAAGACCCCAACAAAGTCCATTTTTCACACAAAATTATTTTCAAGGACAAATTAACGTAGAATTTTTCAAATATTTTTTAAGCACAATTTCCAAACTAGAATTTTTTTTAGCGATATTTCTTCAAAGATCATTATACATGGATTTTGAAATAAATTTCTTTTCAAGACCTTTCCACTTAGATTTTATAAGGAATATTCAATGAAAGTCCTGCCTATTCTTTGTCTATTTCCCACAACACACTTTTTCCAGAACAAATTAGTATAGAATTTTTAAAATTATATTTTTTCAAGGGTCTTTTTAAAACTTGAATTTATTAAGGAATATTTTTTAACTATCATCTAACGTAGATTTTATAAAAAAACATTTATCGAGGTTCTATTAATTCGAATGTTTTAAAAAATAAACAAAATATGAATAGATGAATATTTTTTAAGGAACAATACCATTAGCCATACGACTAGAGCGGATAAACAGGGTGAGATAAAAAACGACTGCAACAAAGTCAAACGCCATAATTTTTACATTTTTTTTAATGTTATTGAATGAAATCAAAAAATGTCGGATATAGCATTAAATTTTAGAATAAGTTTAGATTTGTTAGAATTGGTCACCTTTGGCACGAATTATGGCCTTCAAACGGCCAATGAAACCGTTACACGATGCCCGAATGTTGTTCTGAAGTATATTGGCCCATTCCCGGCGAAGCACTTGCATGAGGTGATCGACACTTTGGTATTTTTTAGTGCCAACCTTGCTTTCTAAAATACTCCAGACACAATAGTCCAACGGATTGGTATCCGTAGATCTTGGTGACCACTGTGCGCTGGAAATGAAGCGAGGAACCTCATTTTGTAGCCATTCTTGGGTGGCGCGTGCTGAGTGCGATGGCGCTGAGTCCTGTTGGAATGTCCAAGGACTGCGGCCAAAATGTTTGCGTGCCCAAGGCTTTAATACACCCTCCAGAAAAATTTCGTGATGTTTTCTGATGCCACGGTCAATTAATACGAGCGGAGAGCGACCATCAGCTGTTATAGCGGCCCACACCATCACCATGGGCGGCGTTTGAGTTCTGGTGGCCACCCGAATGTTCAGATTTTCAGCAGACCTCTTTGGCAAGTAAACACGATCATTTTGTTTGATTGCTTCTTACAAACTGCTGGACAACAAATGTTTTCGGCAGTTCATCACTTTCAGTAAAGCGAAGCAAGTCTTTAGCTCTTTTGAGTCTATTTTCTGTTCTTTCTGCAGTGTAGGTTCTTCCCCTTTTAGAATTTCAATGGCTTTACCCCGAGCTCATTTTTCAATATTTCCCGAATGGAATATTGGAATATCAGCTCCCGATCCATTTTTCGGGCACTGCGACGCGGGTTTAGGTCAAGTCACTTTTTTACTTTTCGAACCATTTCAGCTGATTTCGCTGTTTTCTTCCTTGACGTCGGGCTATGCTACCAGTTCCAGTATCACGGTAACGAGCGATGGTTCGAGACACAAAAGATTTATTCACATTTAAATGCGGGAGTGCTCTAACTATAGCCACTTGTGGTTTTCCAGCCAAATATAAAGAAATCACACTATCACGCTTGAATTCCACCACGAATACCTATTTTTCTGAAAAATTCACATCAAAATGCTTTTGTTCGCTTGTAAATAATATAATGAGCTGTCACTGGAATAATTTTAACAGCTGTCGGATGAGTGGCTTAGAAATGACAGCATTCTAAAGTTGGTTGCAGTTTTTTCATCACCCTGTAGCTCCCATACATATAAAATATGTTTCAGTTTTATTGTGCACCAAATTGCTGATATCTGCCCAAATGGACTGAATTTTGGCACTTCCGACGGAATTCAGCCCAGAAGCAAATACTTAAAAATTTGATTTGATTTTGAAAAACGGTTTAGATATAGGTATAGCTCCCGATTTGAGCTTTGAAGTCCCTCACATGAGTTATATGCACTCCACCGCAATGATAAATGCTACCAGACATCAGATGCAAAGAAACCTCCGCCAAATTTTTTTTGAGATCGGATCAGATTTTTTTTCTCTAAAGAAGTTTCAGGAGCAAGGCATCGGGAATTGTTTAAAGAATTTATTTTTAAGGACCCCCAATCCAAAGACTTTAAGATTTTTTATAAAGACATCTTCAGGGACTATCCATCGTGGAAAGAATACTTTTTCAATGAGCAGCTAATGTAGTTTTTTTTTTTTTTTGTAAAGAATATTTTTCACAGATCCAAAAATATCAGAATTTTCGAAGCAAATTTTTTTCTAAATTTATACAACCAACTATTTGTAGGGTTTTCGAAGATATTTTCGCAAGGACCAGCCAGGAATAAATTTAGTGTTTTTAAAGGATTTTTTTTAATTTGGATTTAGAAGACCAATGTTGCAATAATTTTAAAAATTTTAAAGAGAGATAGTTTCTCAGAGAAGAATTATCAGAATTTTCGAAAAATATTTTTTTCAAAATATAAACAACCGAATATTTTTAGATTTTTCCAAGAATGTTTTCGCAAGGACCAGCCAAGAACAAATTTAGATTTTTTAAGGATTTTCGTTTTTAACTTGGATTTTAGACGACCACCGTTTCCAATAATTTCGATCATTTTAAAGAGAAACAGTCAATATTTTTGGATTGAATTTTCGAAAAATATTTAGACAACCAAATAATTTTTAGATTTTTCGTAGAATATTTTCTCAAGGATCAGCCAAAGACCAGAACAAATTTTGATTTCTTTTAAAGATTTTTTTTTAAATTTGGATTTTATAGATCAACGTTCTAATAATATTGAAAGAGAGACAGTTAATATTTTTGGGTGCTTCAACAGTTTGGAAGTATATTTTTTCAAAATTTAAACAAATGAAACATTTTTAGATTTTGCAAAGAATATTTTCCCAAGGACCAACCATGAACAAATTTTGATTTTTTCAAGGGTTTTTAATGTCAATTTTAGAAGACCAATGTTCTAATAATTTGAATCTTTCAAAGAGATACAGTTAATATTTTTGGATTTTTCAGAAGTTTCGAAAAATATTTTTCAAAATTTAAACAAAAGAAAAATTTTTAGACTTTTTAAAGAATATTTCCTCAAGGACCAGCCATGATCAAATTTTGATTTTTGTTTGTATGTGAATTTTTATTTTACAAGACCAACATTCTAATAATTTTGAAACTTTTAAAGATAACGAGTCAATACTTTTGATTGTTTAGACAGGAATTTTCAGAGTTTTCAAAGAATATTTTTTCAAAATTTAAACAAACCAAATAACATTTAGATTTTTCGAAAAAAAAAATTTTCTTAGGGACCAACCATGAACAAGGTTTGATTTTTTTAAAGGTTTTTTAATGTGGATTTTAGAAGAGTCTTTAAACAAAGGCGCTCAATATTTTGGATTTTTCAGAGAGGTACTTTCGAAATTTTCGAAGAAATTTTTTCAAAATTTAAAAAACCGAATAATTTTTACATTTTTCAAAGAATATTTTTCACGGAGCAAGCAATGAACAATTTTTTTTTAAAGAGAAGCAGAAAGAGAAACAGTCTCTATTTTTTTTTTTTTTGATTTTTTCACAGAGGTATTTTTAGCATTTTCGAATAATATTTTTTGAATTTAATCAGCCGAATAATTTTTAGCTTTTTCCAAGAATATTTTCTCAAGGACCAGCCATGGAAAATTTTGATTTATTAAGTTTTTTTTTTTCAAATTTGGATTTTAAGAGATCAACATTCAAATAATTTTGAATTTTTTGAAGCAAAGCAGTCAATATTTTTGGATTTTTCAAAAACTAATTTTCAGAATTTTCGAAGAATTTTTTTTTTTTTTCAGAATTTAAACAACGGAATATTTTTTAGATTCTTCGAAGAATATTTTCTCAAGGACCAGCCATGAACAAAGTTTGATTTTTCGATGAATATTTTCTCAAGGACCAGACATGAACAAAGTTTGTTTTTTTAAGACTTTTTAATGTGGATTTTAGAAGACCAAATTTCTAATAGTTTTGAATCT